AAGTTTTTCGTTGGACTCCAACTCGTCGTTTAGATTCTTCGGCGAAAGAACTGATGTCTTATTTCGGGTCAATTTAGTTGTCGTCAAAAATCGTCTCATTTTCTTGAATGAAGTGTTTTTCAAAGAAGTGAACGAAAAGGTCGACGAAATCGATATATTTGTCAGACTTATGAACGAACTCTGGTTTAAGCCATGTTTGGCCTTCTTCTGGGCCTTCAGACCAATCTGACCATCAAATGAGACAATGGGTTCAAACACGTGTCAAAACACACTCATGTCTGTCGGCTTACCATTGATTTGAAGCGATGATAATTGTTGTCATTATTTGAGACATCCATTGCTGACACCGATTGTAATGATCGCACAATTTGTATAAATAAAACACTTTATGATAATTGTATTAAAATATATAATTTGTTATCAAAAATACATTGAAATGTAAAATAAATTAAATAATCTGTGAATTAAATCAATGATTAAAATTGAAAATAAATAAACAAAACTCTTATCAAATCAAATAAATCACACATTTGTTGAAACAGTGAAACACATTCACAGTCTTTAACGTTAAAACACTTTTTTAAATCATTCAAAACGCATACCAAAGCCAATGAGTGGTGAATGCGTTCACTACTGTTCAACGCGATTGGCTCTCAGAGTGAGACACCTTTACATACGTTTACTTTGAATGCATAGACTGTACGCCACTCTCGCAGTGTTGCGTAAGTTTGCGCAGACAGAGGGTCTCCACTGCCAGACACATGGGTTCACAGGTATTGTGAATGAAGTGTACATTTACTCTACACTTACTGTTTGTCAACGTTTCATACATTACCTCTACTATACCCTCTCCTCTCCCCTCCCAGTACTTGACCCTAACTTTGTCTAAATATTTGTGCACTCGTTGTGCAAATCAGTTAATTACTGTAATTAGTAATCAATGCATTCGCTCTTTACTTATCGGCAATTAATTAATTGTTGTCTTAAAAATTATTTCAATTAGTTATTGACGACAATAAGATTGAAATAAATATGCGCTACATTTGCTATACAGGATTGGGTAACTTTAGTCCTTTAATTCACTCATATAATGCACTCACACAACAATTATTGAATATATTGTACATTTACTGTTCCGTTAAGTCTTAACGCACTTCAATTCACTTCATTAGGATTATGAGCAGTGATTAGGATTGTTATAGAAATATACAGTATTATAGATGTTTTAATAACGATTAACGAGTTATTTTCCAATCATATTTTAATATAACAATTGTTTAGATATTAATTATATACGGTAATATAATAACTGTTGAATATACCGTATTGTATATGACAGCGTTAAAATTGTCAAACAATTAAGAACTGCTAATTTTTGAAAATATTAAAGTTTTTATTCAATACAGACATACAGTAAAGTACATAGTGCTTACAAGTTAGTAGCATAGTAGAAGTAACATAGTAATCAATTAATTATTATTGATAATCCAATATTGCATAACTGAAACTAAATTCTTGGTCCACAAGTTGTTGTGTACTCAAAGTTCTTTGATTTGTCTTCTATTTGATTACTGTTTTCAAAGTTTGGTTTATTTTTCCAATAATAAGTTTTTTGATTTACATTTTTCAGAATACAGCATATGATAATTGATTGCGAAATCTATAATAATTATTGTTGTTAATTAAAACAATTGGCCTAATTTAAACAATTCTATGAAATATTGTTTAATCTTGGCTTGCACTGTAGATTAAATTATTTTTATTATGATATTTTACTTGTAACTTAATAATAATGTATTGTCTTTAATAATGTTTTATTGTGTTATCTCATTAAAGCGTTAGAGAATATTTGGATTTAATTTAATTGTTTTTGTAAAATAAAAAATAATGACTTAATAGTATGAGTTCATAAAATTCAAATGGCATTTAATTTTAGTATATCCTAGAGTTGTTTATTTGTAAATTGTTAAATTTCATACGAAATTCTTCGTTAGAAATATAATATATTATTATTTCAATAACTAATTAAAAATTTACGATTATTTACAAACTGTTGAACTCATGTTAAACAATGTTTATTTTGATTTGATTTCACACATTTTCACATTAAATGTTATCATTATTTGAGGCAATAATACATGTGATATGAATTGTTTGCTTTAGCTTGATGATTTGGTGAGTGGCGATCGTTATATACACCCTCTATAAACGTGGCAATATATCAATCACTTGACTCATTAATATCATAATTGTTATTTAATAATATCTACTTATGTATGAAATAAACGTATGATTTTTGTTGACAATATCCGTATACAAATGACCTTTAATTAGCTATTGTACCCGAAATGTACCAATATTTCATATATATCACAAGATGATCAATGTTGAGAATTTTATCCTGAAGATTTATTCTGAACAGTGTTAATATTTAGTGCACTTAAAATTTAGTTAATGTAAATATTACATTTAAAATGTTAACGTTTAATAAACTGAGATTCTTATAAATTCTATGAAATGCTGTAATTATCACATCATTATTACAATTATTGTAAGTGTTTGTACAAAACTCACACTAGAACATTTACGATTTATAGAGACTAGTCTATTGTAGCGTATTGTTACAAATGAACAAGTTTATTTGGTACCATACGATTAATCTGGGTTTTTCTATAGGTTAACCTTTATTCTGGTGAAACATACAGTAGTTATTAATTATTTGATATAAACTAATATCTTAATTGCATTAAATATATTATTTTTGGAAAATATTTAAATCTATTCAACTAGTGTTACAAATCAATATTGAAATATTGTACAAATGTTCAAAATGTGTTATATATAAACTACAATCATTGTAATTCCTGCTAATTGTTGATTAACTAGGGGAAATGTATTTATTTTTGATATAACATTCGTGATAAAAAGTTTAATTATTTGTCAAAAAATTATTATATAATTTCGGAAAATATTTACGCTAGAGTGAAATCACTAAAATCAGAATTCAATTCCAAATAAAACAGACTAATAATTGAGAAATATTATTAAATATTAATATTAAAGTACTAACGTTATTAATACATAATTATAAGTAAATAATTAATAATTTACACAATTCTTTGAAAACCAAATGTTATTTATTAAATTAAATTTAAATCCTATTGACATTAAATAATATCTGTAAGTGTTTGGGAGGTATTAGTAAAATATTTTATCATATTTAAAATACAAAAGTCAAGTGTTAGTTCTCATACAGTGTATGGTATGTATAGTACTCTATGAAGTTTCGCGTGGCTCTATGTTATATCATTGCATTGTAATTGAGCCAAACATAATAAGCGTGCGGACTTTTCTTACCATTATCTTATTGAGTAAAAACTTATATATTAATTAATTATTTTATTAATTATATTAATTAACATTGTTTAAAATTTTTACAAAATTAATTAAAAGTTGTATTAAATGTTATAAAATTAATTAATAAAAACATGACTGTGAGTTTATAGAATTTATAAAAATGATAAAAATTGCACATTGTTAGAAATACTAAATTTTAATTATTAAAAAAGAAGTTATAAATAAGCAATTAGCATGAAATATATTTATTAAATTTTTAAACAATTTTATAAAAAATGTCCCAAAAAATCGTGATAAGAAAGACATTATATAACACTTTTTAATAAATCCATAATATTATTTGACTTTTTAAAAATGATAACTAGATTTATTTGATGTCATCATTCAAGTGTTTACTTAGAAACCTATACAAAAAGTATCGATTCTGTTGTCAAATAAACCGAAGAATCATAAGATAGAAATAGAGACGGCTTTCCTCAATATTTTATATAAAATTGGTTTCAAATCTTAATAAATGATTAAACAGACACTTAATTAATGTTTTATTGTAATAAAATTTTTTAAAAATCGTTTTGACAATTATTCGACAATATTTCAAAATCAGGGAAATTAATATAGTAAGTGATGTTTGAATATTAATTCATTAAATTACCATATATATAACCTTTAATCTATGTTATGTTTTTAAATAAAAATTGTAATAAATAAAATGTTTGCTTTTTATATTATAAACAAATCCTGTTATATGTTTACATAATATTCTAATAATTGTTTATTTAATAATTGCAAGAATTGATATTTAATACAAATATTTATTTAGAGCAAAATTATTTCAATATTATTTATCGGAACTTCAAAAATATTCTTGGACCTTGTTGGAATGTTTTAGCAAAATACATTTTCTGTGATAAATATTATACATTTTTAAAGCAAAATTCACCATTTAAACAATTAATATTTTAGTTTTTCATATTTATTCTAAACTTTGTTTATGTAAATAAGTGGAAAGTAATTTAATTTATTACTTGCTATAACTATTAATACTTTGTATAGTTATATAATAACCAAAAACAAAAAATATTGCAAACAAAGTTTCTTATACTTTCAACTGAATCAACAATAAGAGTCCGGTTTATAGTATTACCCAATAGAAGGTTATAAATACAGAAATGCAATTACTATTTGCTATCGTCTTTAAATCATCAATTGGTTAAATAATGTCTTCTATAAATAGTAATGAATAGTTTAACGTTAAAAAATCATTAAATTTTTATCAAACTGTAAGTACAGTAACTTTTATTTTTTACTCACTTCACTTCTATAGGGATGAATTCGGATTCATGTGATAGTAGTGTTTGTGATACTTGTGGGTCACCTGTGGAACAGTTTGGCACAAATGACAACATGAGTGACACGACTAGTACTGAGCAAATAGTGTCGACCCGACTGTCGTGGACGACAAAAATCTTCTTCAGCTTTGGTCACGTCTACAATGATTTATGCGCTTCTGTTTGGTTTTCATACACATTAATCTTCTTTCAAATGCAATTCAATGGTTCGGTGGCCAGTATTTTGATACTCTTGGGACAAGTGGCCGACGCTTTGGCCACACCTTTTGTCGGGTAAGCGCTCACACCAAACGAGCGATTGATTTATTTTGTTTGTATTGTAAACACAAAATATTGACTCAATTATGATTGATATATGTTTAGCTTCTTTTCGGACCGAAACGATTCAAATCAGTTGTTGTGTAGATATGGGAAGAGAAAAACTTGGCATCTGTTGGGCTCTATTCTAGTGTCCGTTTCTTTTCCTTTTGTAAGCAAATATTATTCAAATACATATAAATATATTATATAATAAAATATTTCATATTTAAAGATTTTCAACAAATGCTTAAACTGTGAAAATTCATCAGAAATTTGGCAAATAATATATTACGGATTTTTCATAGTCTTATTTCAATTTGGATGGGTATGACATTTGCTATAATTGTGTATATGTTATATAATAATGTTGAATATTTGGTCGCTTGTAATGTAATATAGGCAGCCGTACAGGTGGGACACGTCTCACTCATTACTGACTTAACTGTAAATACTAAAGAAAGGGTGGAATTGAATGCTTACAGGTATTTATACTTTTCAAACTCTAAGTTTTTTCAATGATTTTCAATAACTTTTTTAAATTAAATATTTTAATGAAATAATTATATTTATTTTGCATTGAAGACAAGCGGCAACTGTTGCTTCTTCTATATGTGTTTATACGATCGCGTGGTTTATATTGAGTCAAAAAGGAGACGCTTCTCTCACCAAAAAAGATTCAGATATTTTTACAGTAAACCCTTATAACGACAATATTTAACAATAAATTAATTTATATCTTTTTTAATTATTAAATTAGTTAATAGTGTATATCGTGTGCGCCATCGGAGCCGTCTTTTCAGTGCTATTCAATATTGTTGTAAAGGAAGTGAAACCACCGAAAATGGATTATCCGTACAGTTCTTCCAATGACTTGATTACCAATAATGAAATTTCCAAAAATATTTGCCGCAAAGAAGTGGACAATAAAAACAATAATATTAAAGATTACGGCACTAATTGCACTAATATTTCATATTCTCCGACAAATCCGGAAAACGGAAACATCAAATCCAATCAATTTTATAAATGGAGCGATTGGTTAAAGGATTTTAAATTTTACAAAGTGGTTCGTACTCTGAAATATACTTAAAATTGTGAATTTGTATACATTTAATAAATTTAATTAAATCTTAGGCCATAATCTATATGATTGCGAGACTTTTTGTAAATTTAACACAAGTCTATACATCACTGTTTTTACAAAAGACTCTACATTTGCCAAAAGTATTTATAAATTTGTCATTGCATTAATTTATTGTTAATAATGATTATTGTAGAATAACTTTTAATTTAATAAATATTTATATCTTAAGGCTAGCATAGCTATCATCCCATTTGTGACATACATTAGTGGATTCATTTGGTCACTCATATCGAGATTTATATCCAATAAAACGGGATCCAAAGTAAGAAATTATAGTTTCAATAATAATAATACATTTAAATTTGAAGTATTCTATATTTAATTATCATTAAAGATAATTACATATCCTGGAAAAGTGATATCAAATCATAATTTTTTTATTAATTTGATAAATAAATTTTATATAAATTCATTGTAGGATTGGAAATAGTAATTCAATTATTCATAAGCAATGTATTATTAATATAATTATCAGATACTACTAGTGATGGGTTGTCTGTTTGGATTGGCTTCTTGTGTGTGGAATAGTTTTGGTTCCGTAGACAACGAGTCGTTCAAACAATGGCAGGTCTATGGGGCAGCCCTTCTCTTCGGCATCGGTGGCACAACTATGCTTATCGCCAGTCTATCCCTCACATCAGATCTGATTGGAAACAATACGGTATATTAAATAATTAATAAATGCTTATTTACTATCATTTATAAAACAATTACAATCCACTAAACATATAGACGAGTTCAGCCTTTGTCTTCGGGACAATGAGCTTCTTCGACAAAGTGCTCAACGGTTCGGTTGTCGTAATTCTGGAACAAATAAATCCCTATAAGAATAGGTCAGACGATGAAAGCTTTTCCAACACTTACTACAAACAGATTGTGGTGTATGTCTCGGGAGCGGCAGCTCTTCTCACACTATTGGCTGTCATCCCAATTATGAGGACTAAGTTTGCAAACAATTCGCAAACATCTGATGAGAAAAATAATAAATCAAATGTAAAAGAAATAAAATATTAATCGACAAAAGTATTTATTAGTGTTTCATTCTTGCAATCAATGTTTCATCAATTGTTATGTAAATATTAATATATTTATTATAAATATTAATTTATTTATTCATTGTATTATTTCTTGTTAAAGTAGTTGTAAGACAAATACAGAATATAATTAATTTAATTAATTATTAAAATTCAAAGTATGTTTTGTCTAATAGTAAGCATTTTTAATTGTTCTCAATATTAAATACAAATGCAATTTATTTGAACAAAAATTTGTCTATAATTGTATATATTTTTTGCATTACATTCAGAATTAGTGGTAAAATATTGTACATGTATTTATAAAATACATTATTATATAATGTATTCAATATAGCATTTATTGTGAAACTAATAACATAATTGAGATCAAAATAAAAAATAAAACAAACAAAAAAAACAAAATTTAATAAATCATATGAATTAATATTATTTTAGAGATTAATAATCTGTAATCAATTTAATTTAATTACACTTTAGTGTAAATTAAACAAAACAACAAAAAATAAATAATAATTTGCTTAAAACACTTGATTAATGTATGAATTAACAGGGCTTCAAGTCATCTAAAGTATAGCTCCAAATACTTCTCCCGTCTTGACAGAGAGGCTGTCCTCGGATTTTGTCCCGAAGAAGGTGTCGATTGCGGACAATCCATGCGAACCGACAGTTGCAGACCAATGGGTTATAACTGAACACAACTGTATTGCTGTTATCGGGCGTTAGAAGTAAGGGTCCAAATATGGTTTCTTCTAAATGTGTTAATAAGTTGTCCGAAAGTATGAGAAAAAGCGGCCGATTTATGCTATGAAAAGCGTGTGGACTGAGACTCGTGTCCGTCAAGTTGTTTGAGTGAAGATTTATGAGAAGTCGTTGTTGTGAGGGATGTTTGATAGCGAAGGAAAGGTCAGAGATTTTGCGGATCTTATTATGGCTTAAATCCAATACACAAAGCGATTGGAGTTGAAAGAAGGCGCAGCTCTCGACGTGAGTTATTTCGTTGTTTTTCAAAATGATTTTTTTCAGAAACATTTGATCAGATCTTGAGAATGAGTTCTTCGATATTCGGTCATAATTGGTGTCCGTAATGGACAGCACTTCCAGTCGCTTAAATCGGTTGAGTATAGGGAGCGGATCGCGTCGGTTATAGTTCACAAGCGTTTTGTGTCCTTTAAGACTGAAATATCGGTTCATACGATATGACGTCCAAAACACAAACGGATCAAAGTTTACAATCGGATTATCAATAATCGAAATACTCCTAAATTTTAATCCGCGAAACAAATCAATTTCGTAAACGTATATATTTTGAATCGATGTCTGCATTATCTCAAGCTTGAAGAATGTCTTGGAAGACATGGAACCGTTGAGATATGTGTTGAGTCGAGTGAAGGCTCTCAACAAATCCATGTCATTTATATGGAGTCCGCAACACGATATGGTAAACTCATAGGTTTGTGACGGTCTTGATATGCACTGACACGGGTAGAAAAAATCGGTGGCCGGACAGTAGGCACTTGACACGTGTGATGACCACAATGTTATTATAATAATAAATATAATGACAATTCCTATACAGCGGCAAAATTTAATATTTAATTCAACAATGTTTATAAAAGTAATTTATAAAAAAAATCAATAAAATGCAATCAATAAATCAAAAGCAAAATATTAATTGAATACAGAATATAAGAAAATCTCTTACTTGTGATGTAAATCATTGTAAGGAACTTTACGTGAAAGGGATGACTGACTGTTGGCAGTGATTCTGTGGACTAAATTAGTAATAAAATTACAATAAATATGTGTCAAATCATTGCAAATCGATCTTACTTGTGATGTAAATCATTGTAAGGAACTTTACGTGAAAGGGATGACTGACTGTTGGCAGTGATTCTGTGGACTAAATTAGTAATAAAATTACAATAAATATGTGTCAAATCATTGCAAATCGGTTTTATATATAGAGTGCGAAAGCAGAGAAAATACAAGTAATAATCTGAAAGAATTACGAAACGAGATATTATGATCGACTTTAATGGTATGTATAATATGTATAAACAGTATTTTGTTTGATAGAAGTTTGCAAAAACATAGGAACTGCAAAACTAGTACTTATCGACCAAATCGTATATTCAATTCCTATTTTAGAAATGCTTTTATGTAATGACATATCAAATGCATAACTCTTTTTCGTCAAAGGGCTTGAATACGATTTCATGATAACAAACAGATTATTATTATTTTAAAAAATAATAATTTTGTCACATTTACTGATGGAATGTATGGATTGATTTCAATATGTATTAGCATTAATGTTAGCGCTAAATATGTTTAACAGTTAACACAATGCATAACATTAGCACAGTATTCAGTCATCAAGTTTTATGTCATATTTTTCATTGAAAAATGTATGGATTGATTTCAATATGTATTAGCATTAATGTTAGCGCTAAATATGTTTAACAGTTAACACAATGCATAACATTAGCACAGTATTCAGTCATCAAGTTTTATGTCATATTTTTCATTGAAACTATAATATATAAATAGAAAAATTTATTACAATTACAACTATATGTTGATATTCTTTACAATATTTTAATATTCTTTATAAAAAACAATAAAATTGTGGCAATTATTCTACAGAATATCCTTAAATAATTCTCACATATTTAATGTTAGACACTTAAGGTTATTATTGATAACGTTATAAAAAGAGTTTATTAAAATTTTATTGAAAAATATTGTTTTATTTTTATTTATTTATTTAAATATATCAATAAATGTATTTCATATCCTGTTTAATATTCTTGAAACAACACGTTTACTGCTTTTATTATTTTAAAAAATTTATTTTTATAATCACTAAACATTTAAACTAAAATTAAAAGTTATATAATATTATAATAAACACCACTTACGCTATATTGAAGTCAAATTGGGTTCATTTGAAGAACTTATGGCTTCAAAAGTGTTTAATCCGTTTCACACTTTTATCAATTGAAGGGTCAGTTTTGAACTCAATGTCCATTCAAGAGAGTCATTGGCAACGAATGGTCAGTTGGGGCAGATGTGAGAGACGGTGGTGTCGGCAGTAAGTGAGTCAACACAACTGGTCTATAGGTTGGAAAGTGTATACGATATTACCCTTTCCTTTGCCATCACCTGAAAGAGTTGTCGCCAATTGACTCAAAAGCACATACATGTATATGTGTTAATTCATATACATATGCATAATTGAATTACTGGTCCATTGAGTGATTTATTTAGTAATTTTTAAAGAGTTGCTAACAATTGATGTCTGACTTGCAATCGATGACAAAATCATTGAATCTGACGATCAGACGAGAGGGAAGTTCTCTTCATTCAGAGACCAATTGCTATAATTGGTTGAAGCGATTGAATAGTGCATTGAGTTTGCATTTCATGTCTACT